ACACAGAGGCGATGGCATAAGCCCGCTTATATAGCTTTTAAGCAAAAGAGCGGGCTAAAAAGTAAAGTTTACAGACTGACAAAAAATACATTTTTTTAAACTCTTACGCAAACCAGAAGGGTTGGCTGTAGTCACGGTGTTGCCACGTTACAGTCGTTTGTGATGTCCTAGGAGAAAATCTCTAGTCCCCCCCCCCCCCGCCGAAAGCCGTAGTTTACTAAAATGTGCAAAGTGACTAACAGATCGAATTAACACCAAAAAGACCATATGAAACACATGTTAAAATGCAAAGACCTTGAGGGGTACGATCGAGCTGACCGGGGTACTGTTGGAATGGCCTGAGGATGGGTCATCTACATCAAAATTACTACAATTACCTGAGGCATTTCCTCAGAAATAATTCCAAATTGAGTGACACGTTAAGTGTAACATGCTAAGTGTGACACGTTCAGCGTGACACGTCCGTGACCTCTTGACAATGTTTCCTTTAAAAGGGGTTCTTTATCAGCTTACAGGAAGTGTTATCGTTTTTTGCAGTGAAGAAGGCCGCCTCTCCGCAAACAGCGGAGCCAGGTGGTGGGCAGGGTGCTTCTTATGGCTGGCGAGACCCCAACACTACCGCCAGCGAGGTCAGGCAACCTACCACCCCCGGAAATCAAGTGACCGTGAGCGTTGAGGACTCCACGAGTCACATCAAGGGTCAGAAGAAGATGGAGGAGACATGGGAGCTAGATTTTATCGGCTTGGTCCTGTCCGCGGGCGACCTTCGCATGCAGGAGCTCGTCAGACACCCCCTTGTCGCTAGCTTTCTTGACCTCAAATGGCAGCTCGTGAAAAGGATCTACATTTTTTTCAACCTTCTCTCTCACCTAATTTTCAGTGTGGGTGTCACAGTATACGCCACGTTCAGGGAATTCAAGAAAGTATTGGTGATCGCGTCCCTTGAGGAAACCCCCAAAAGGTACGTACATACGTACAATTCTGTTACCAGCGTGGGTGAAAGGATCTACAGTGTGCAGTACACCAGTATACTGTAGCCCAACTGCAGTTTCACTGAACAAACATTACGTTTTTTTTGGACAAATTGAGTGACTCTGACAGAAACCTAAAGCATAACTTTATCAAAACCGGGCGGCCCCGTTTGTCCTACCTAGCACTTGTACTACTTTAATTTTTAGCACTAAAAAATTACTATAAATAGTGATTAAAATAGTAATTTCATTGGTCCTACCACTAATTTTAGTCAAATTGTTTGTCCTACCTGTGCTAACAATTTATTTTTAGTCATGATGACCTACCCATTATTTTAGTCGACTAGATTTTGTTAGTTAAGATTAGTAGTAGACATACGCCGGATAGGTGTATGGATTCACCCGCAGCGGCGGAGCCTTGCCATGTCGGAGAGTGTGCGTGCTTGGGTTTGAATGGGTGTTGGAAGTTCGTGTGGTTGCGTTCATGTGCGAGGGAGGGGGGTAAAAGAGTGTGTGTGTGTGTGTGGAAGGTATTGTTAATATGTTAAGCCACCAATTGTTTTGAGAAATATGCCCTGCTGCATAAAAACCTAAAAACCTTTATAAGCTACTAATAAAAAAATCAGTACAGGTCTGAGAGTGCACACCTACACTGTACGATGTAACTAAGTGCACTCTCCTAAGGAGGTAAGAGGCGGAGGGGGGAGGGGTACTTCTTGCTGAAAGGCACTGCTTTTTCCGAGTAAGAAGGCAACCAATCAACAAGATCTGCCTCAATTAGCGCATGGTTAGAAACTGATGGTTCTTAGGACCAATTTTTTGTCGACTAAAACTAGTGGCCAAGAATAGTTGACTAAAAGGAGTGACTGTATTCGACTGTAAATAGTCGACATCAAATAGTCGACTTTAATCTTAGCCAACTAAAATAAATCCTTTGTTTGGTATATTTTTCCTTAAAAAAAATATTACGTGGGACGGATGACATACACCCGAATTTCAATAACTTATGTTAAAATTATAATTTTTTTTCAGCGTACTCATCGGGGTGGTGTTTATCTACGCCATTGTGGAGTGTGTCCGCGTGAGCCAGCGTTTCAAACTTTTCATCCGGTTCTTCGGATGGCGGAAATTGGTTTCTTCTTTGCAAGACTGGATGGCGATTTCTTCAATTGTTGTGACCAGCGTGATGCTCGCAACCGACTCCACTAACGTCTACCTGCGTCGGCAGCTGGCAGCGGTTTGCGTCCTCACGACGTGGATACGGCACATCTTGATCTGGGCTCCGATATCACAACAGCTCGCCACAAGCATCGTGATGGTGAAGAGGGTCTCGTGGCAATGTTTTAAAGTCCTTAGGAATTACGGGATCCTGATCGTTGCCTTCGCTCTGAGCTTCTACATCCTCTTCCACAACTGCCCCATTGACGGGACAGGGCCTGACTGCCCGGATGACGAAACGGGCGATGATGAATTTTTCCGCAACCCAGCCAAGTCTATCTTCAAGTCGTTCGTCATGCTGACCGGGGAGTTCGACGCTAGCTCGTTGCCGTTTGATTCCTTCCCCGTCACGAGCCACATTTTGTTCCTCCTGTTTGTCTTCCTGGTTTCCATCGTCCTCTTTAACCTGATCCTTGGCCTGGCTTTAAGCGACACCCAGGCCATCCGTCAGGAAGCCGAGTTGTGGGCCCACGTCTTGCGCGCTGAGCACCTTTTATTCTCTAAATTTGCACTAGCGAGATGGTGGTCGGAAAGGTTACCAAGTATTATGCTCTTCTCTCGTGATAAGCGTGAGCGCCGGATTCGAGTACTTCCTAGCGACGGCAACCGTGTGACTTACCCAATGGAAAAAAGCAGTAAATTATATAAGTACCTCCATACACTTCGGATGGACTCGGACATCATGAGGAAAGTCAACGAGCTGCTGTTGGAGCGCAAGTCTCAAAGTAATGTCAACTAGCTCGCATACGAGAGTAGAAATGGTCCAATGGCGTTAACTGTCCACCACTATCTTACTATGGCTTGGATCTGCACATTCTGCAAAAAGTTCCCTTTCGGGTATTGAATTAGTATGCACTGGAAAAAAACGCTTGTTTGACAAAAACACTTTACGCACGGACGGTTACTTACAGAGATTTTGACCTGCGTATTGAAGCCGTAAATAGACATATCTGTTCGTAGATTGTTTTTTTTTTCGTCAAACGATACGGTAACTACAATAAACATAGATATTTTAACGTGGTTCTGCCGGGTTCTGTGGTCGGAAAAGGAGTGACGAACATATTTATTTTTGTTCGTCACCGTGGTGTTTGAAACTTTATGGATTTATCCATAAAATTCATATTATATATTTATATTAGAATATCCTGAGGGAATAAGTTTTCTATAGGAGCTACAGGGAATTCCCATGACTTAGAATTTTGATCCATGCTTGGAGGGGGGCACCCTAACATTGATCACCGAGCAAGAGTTTCCTTAATAGTATCAGCAGGCTGCAACTTTTTTGTTTTATCCTAAAACAACCCCTTCCCCTTTTTAGCCCGCCCTTCTGCTTTTAAAAAAGCATTAAAGCGGGCTTATGCAACCGCTCTCGTGTCCGTC